TAGGGATTTTTGAACAAATGAGGCTGGAGATTAAGATCTATCAAATAATCTCAAAAAACTGTCTATATTTTTATATGGGGAATAGGTATTGAAGAATCGAGCTTCTGAAAAAGTTATCTAAAAATCTACAAAAATTGTGGGATATGGATTTCAACGTCGCGATTTCGAAAAATCGAAAAATTGGAGATATCCAAATAGCTAAAGATCAAAAAATGGGAAAATTCAAAATTGAAAAATTTAAATTTAAAAAACCCGATAAATCAAAAAATTTAAAAATCGAAAAATGAGAAGGCAAAGAATTAACAGACTAAGAAATCGAAGCAATAAAAAAATGAAAAATCTAAAATTTAAAAATTCGAAAAATTGAAAATTTACAAAATCGAGAAATCAAAACATCAACGAAATCAAAAAATTGAAAAATCGAAAAATGTAAGATTTAAAAATTCTCAAAAAATTTTAAACTCGAAATACATATTGAAAAATCTCAAAACTTAAAACATTGAAAATTTGAAAATCGAAAGAAGGCAAACAATCCAAAGATTTAGAAATCGAAACAGCAAAAAAAAGTGAAAAATCTAAAATTTGAAAAGTCGACAAATTGAAAATTTAAAAATCAAGAAATCAAAACATCAACGAATCGAAAAATCAAAAAATTGAAAAATCGAAAAATGTAAGATTTAAAAACTCGCAAAATATTTAAAAATCGAATAAGTAAAAAATCAACAAAACAGAATGTCGAAAAATGTAAGAATTTAAAAATCGAAATGCATATTGAAAAATCCCAAAATTTAAACACTGAAAATTTGAACATGAAAAAGTTGAGAAATCGAGAAATCAGAAAGGCGAAAAGTCGAAAAATTGAAAAATCTAAAAATTTAAATATGTACATAAAAACCCGATAAATCCAGAAAATTAAAATTGAAACAATAAAACAATGAAAAAACTAAAATTCAAAAATTCGAAAAATTGAAAATTGACAAAATCGAGAAATCAAAACATCAACGAATCGAAAAATCAAAATATCGGAAGATGTAAGATTTAAAAATTCCCAAAATTTTTAAAAATCGAATAAATCAAAAAATCAAAAAAACAGAAAGTCGAAAAATGTCAAAATTCAAAAGTCGAAATACGTATTGAAAAATCCCAAAAACTTAAACCTTGAAAATTTGCAAATCGAAAAATTGAGAAATCGAGAAATTGGAAAGACGAAAAGTCCAAAAATTTAGAAACACCAAAAATTGAGAAATTGAAAAATCTAAATCGAAAAATTGAAATCAAAAAATCTAAAATGATAACGCAAAATATCGAAAGACTGAGAAATCGAAACAATAAAAAAATGAAAAATCTAACATTTAAAAATTGGAAAAATCAAAAAATTGAAAAATCGTATAGATGAAAATGTTGAAAAATGTAAGATTTAAAAACTCGCAAAATTTTGAAAAATCGAGTAAGTAAAAATTCAAAAAAACAAAGTCGAAAAATCTAAAAATTTTGAAATCGAAATCTTGAAAAATCCCAAAACTGAACAGAGAAATTCAAAAATTGAGAAATCGAAAATTCCAAAAATTTAGAGACGCTAAAAATTGAAAAATTGAATAAACGAAAAATTTAAATACATAAATCCCAAAACTGAAACGTCAAAAAATCGGAAACTCGAATGATCGAAAAACTGAGAAATCGAGAAATTGATATCGACAAATTGAAAAAACGCAAAAGCGAAACATCAAAAGATCGATCTTCTAGAAGTTAAAAAACCGAAAGACCTAGAAATCGAAACAACAAATAAATGAAAAATGTAAAAATTCGAAAAATTGAAAATTTACAAACTCGAGAAATGTAAGATTTAAAAATCGCAAAATTTTTAAAAATCGAATTAGTAAAAAATCCGAAAAACAAAGTCGAAAAATCTAAAAAATTTAAAATCGAAATACACATTGAAAAATCCCAAAACTTAAAACATTGAAAATTTGAAAATCGAAAAATTCAGAAATCGAAAACTCCAAAAATTTGAAAACGCCAAAAATTGAAAAATTGAATAATCGAAAAATTTAAATACATAAATCCCAAAACTACAACGTCGAAAAATTGAAAAAACGCGAAATCGAAACATCAAAACATCGGAAGTCGAAAAATCGAAAAATTGAGATATCGAAGTAGCTAAAGATGGAAAAATTGAAAAATCGAAAGACTGAAAAATCGAAACAACAAATAAATGAAAAATTCGAAAAATTGAAAATTTAAAAAATCGCAAAATATTCAAAAATCGAATAAGTAAAAAATCAAAAAAACAAAGTCGAAAAATCTAAAAATTTTAAAATCAAAAAATTGAGAAATCGAGAAATCGGAAAAACGAAAAATCCAAAAATTTAGAAACGCCAAAAATGGAAAAATCGAAAAATTTAGTCAACCCCAATACTGAAACGTTGAAAAACTGTAATATCGAAAAACTGAGAAATCGTGAAGTCGAGGAACCGAAAAATCGAAATAGTTAAAAATCGAAAAATGGGAAAATTCAAAATTGAAAAAATTTTACCTTAAAACACCCGATAAATCGAGGAGTCGAAAAGTCTAAAAATCGACAAATTGAGAAATGGGAAAATTCAAAATTGAAAAATTTTAACTTAAGAAAACCGATAAACCAAAAAGTGAAAAATAGAAACATCGAAAAACTGAAAAATTCATTCCGAAAAATTGAAAAATCTAAAAACGAGTAGGAAAAAATCGAAAGCTTGAGAAATCGAAACAAGAAAAACGTGAAAAATCTAAAATTTAAAAATTCGAAAAATTGAAAATTAAAAAAATAGAGCAATTAAAAGATCAACAAATCAAAAAATAAAAAAATTGAAAAATCCAAAAAATGTAAGATTTAAAAAGTCGCAATATTTTGAAAAATCGAATAAGTAAAAAATCAAAAACAGGTAAAGTCGAAGAATTTAAAAGTCCCAAAATTTAAATAGGGACAAGCTAAAGAGAAGATAATTTTTATATATTTCATTCCGAGGTTTCGTCTTGTTTTGTTTTCGAATTGTCAATATCTGTCAGTTTATTCGATTTCACACAAGTCAGGTTGATAAAAAACACCACTTCCCATTTTAAATCTACCTATGATAAATGTAAATAACAATACTTTTGCGTGCAATAGTACTGAACAGTATGTCCCCGAATTAAGTTTACAAAATGGAAAAAAAATATTTGTGATTTTCTAAAAAAGTGCCAAAAGAAGAAACTCACGCTTCGTTTAAAATAACAAATAATGCAGTTAAAACTAGCGAAACATAAACAGAAAAATTGAGTTCTTTTTAAGTAAATTGTCTGGATAAAAATGGATTAATTTTTAAAAATCTAGCTTAATTAAAGTTTTTGTATGTGAAATACTTGTTTTAATGAAGCCAAAATTTGTATTCCTTTTACTTTTTTCTGTATACTAAAATTTAAAAAATCCTCGGTACACTCAACACACTAGGTAGTGAGTATTTACAACAGTATTGTAACACCTTTTTCCAAATTGTAGTACTAAGCAGATGTTTTAGCAACAACAAACAATTTTTATTATAAAAATGCACAACAAAGAGTTCAAAAGGTTTCAACATTTAAAACTGTGCTTCATACAATTTTGAACATACGTTTTCCTGCAAACTAGTACCATGTTTTATTATGTTTTTAACGTTATAATAATGTCAGTAAGCATTGTTTTGTCGTGTCTGATAAACGAAACGATAAGCGAACACATATCATGGAATGAATAACATATATAACTAAAATTACCAGTGTTCATAAAATACCACAATATTTTTTGTTACTTCGCGCGGAATGCTAGGCCTAAAATGTTCCACATGTCTAATTTGTGTCACAGTGAAAGCTTCTTGCCTTTAACAAATTTTATTTTCTGTGGTTATTTTGTATTTCGGTAAAAGCAGAGCTGATAAATAAACATCACAACCAAATATTGTTATCTTTCGCTGGGGAGTGGAGCGTGTAATATTCCATCACGTCCCGCCGATGAAATCATTTTTAAATTTTGTTCACCACCCACTTACCATTACCACTTGCGTTCAATTAATTGTGTAAAAAGCAATTTTTACCTCGGTCGGTTTTCAGTTGCAAAAATAACAGGTTATTTTTAAAAAATGCACAGTTTTTATTCTCATTTGTGCCAATTTACTTCAATAACGATCATAATCGGTGCAATTGTTTTAGGTTCACAGAAAGGTGAAATTAGTTACAGCCACTGATTAGAATTTATTCCGAGAGTGCACGAACCGACGACATGATCAATTCCGAGTATCACATGCGTCAAAGAGCAAACTGTTCCGGATATAGAGAAGATGATTTCAGTTTGGAGTTAAATATACCACGCTTAAAAAACGATACATTTTTGAACTTTGGATTTTGCTATTTGTGTAACATTTTTATTGTTACGTATTATGAGATACATACTTGGATGGATGTTGCCAATTTAATTCTTTTTTGTGCGAACGTTATTACCCATCGCTAATTTATTATTTTGAAATGGGATGTTTAGTTGTGGATTTATGTCGTTTTGAAACTATATAATCGTTATGAATTATCTTCTGGCATTCCCATTATTAGTTATGAAAACATTCTCCTTCTTCTATTGTAATTATACTTTAATTTGTAATTTTTGAAAACTTTCACATATGATTGGACTAACTAATGTGATTCGAACGTCTACAGAAACATGTAGTTTAATTTACTGTATTAATCGCGAGTGAATGCGAAAAAAGATAACATTGACATTGATAATAAAAGAATGACATCAGACAGTGAGTCAGACAATATTTTATTACTTAACAATCTACATACATACGTGTAATAGGTGTACATGTTATAATAATCATTTTGTCATTACAAATGCAAGCAAAATATGTTTGTGTAACGAAAAAAGATCTACTTTCTTTTTTATCGAAATATTAGAAAGTTGCATCATTTAAATTTAAACACTCAGGTCATCTTAACAATCTTTCGTCTCTTTTCTTCAGATACATTCCGACTAGACTGTGGGGCTTCAGCGGCCACGTCCAAACCATCCTTCATAGCGTTATTGGCAGAGTGAAATGCCCATGGCCTATAGGGGAACGAGTATTTTTATCTTTGCAAGATGGGACCACGTTAACGTACGACATGTACCAGCCTTTAGATACGAATTTTCAGGGTAATTTTCAATGTTTTTAGTATGTTATATAAGATAAAGGATGATTGAATGTTATTTTTTATAACACACTTAATCAGTCGTAATGTTATTAACTGGTTTACAGATGATCTATCGATAGCGATATGCCCCGGTATTGGAAATACGTCTGAAAGTGTATATATACGCACTTTTGTCCACTGGGCACAATGTCATGGTTACAGATGTGCCGTTTTGAATCATGTAGGGGCATTACAAAGTGTGCCCGTTACGGCTCCACGCATATTTAGTTATGGTGAGTAATTTTGTTATGTTATTTAGAAGGCAGTTGCATAATCGTCTTTGAAGAATTTTACTTTGTAGAACAAGTTAATTAATTGTTGTAATAGTGGTGTGCGCAGATTTAGTATGTAACCTCTAAATTAAAAAAAACTTTCAAATAATAGAAAAGAACGAACGCAGCATAATTTAAACTTTTACTATTATTATTTAAAATGAAATTTTTGCTACTTTTAATGTTCACATGCTGTAAATAGAGATTCAAGTGCAGGCGCGGATACAGGATTTCGTTCAGGGGGGGGGGGGCAATTTTTGTGTGATTTTACCTATGTACCAGGGATGTACCGACTAGTGGCCAGTTTACTACTACTCGATGCTAGTGGCCGACCGGTCGGATAAGCCGACTATTCGGCCGTTTTTCATCGTCGGCTGCAGTCGGCGACTGGTCGGCTAAACAGCCGATCGGTCGGCTTTTTTTTATTAAAATTAAAATAGTATATAAAACAATTAAACCCGGTTTACAGAACCTCAATTAAATATTTAATTGCGATTTATGTAATTACTAAAAAAAATTAAATGTTAAAATTATCCAAACAAATTTAACACATTTTTTGGAAAACAAAGTGTAGGAACAACCGTTCCCACAAAATCAGGTGTTCTACCTGAGCGCATTCATAATAATTGTAAAAATGTAAATACTTCCTATCCTTCGTCTACCTGCCCTACGCTCCTACATACTTTCTCTTTTCCCTTCTAGAATTTTCTAAACCCTTCTTTACCTACTTCCACCTCTTCGAAACCGAGCTTACCTGTGTACCATTTTAAACGCCCTTCCTTCTTCTCCCGGGCACTCTCGAACAGTAAGGAACAAAATAAAATCTGAAAACCGTACCGTCGCTTTTAAATCACCAACAATACCCACAAAAGAAACTTTAGTTATTCCTTTTATTAAAATAAAACACATTTTTAAGGTAGTCAGAGAAATAGCAAAAAAAAAACACACTGTCTGTCGCATTTATAAACCGGTTTTAGCAAAGCCGAACAGTCGGCCGACTAGTCGGTTTTTACTGGCCGAACAATCGGGTAGTCGGTTAGTCGGCCAGACCTACAGTCGGTACATCTCTACTATCTACCAAAAATTCGTTCTAAACAAAAAAATTTATAAAATTTTAGCTAGTATACTCTTTTTCACATAACATGGGTGACATTTGGTTTTTTTCATTACACGTATAGTGTACAGTAGAACCTCGATAATCCTAATTCCTAATTGGGAAAAAGGTGTGTTCGGATTAACGATTTGTTCGGATCAGCAATTTTCGCAAAAATCTCAAAGGGAATTGAATAACAACTTCATACACAACTGAAAACAAACTTCAAGAAATAAACCTAAATTTTATTAAACAAAAATTAAAGAATTCTTAAGCAACAATGGTTAATAGATACATTCTAAAAAAATTGGTCTAAAGAGTTTAGACAGTACTTCCCTCGCTGTCGGAAACTTGACGACTGCATGCCTATTGTGTTTTTTTTCTCATTACATTTTTCTAGTGGGAATTTAAAAAAAATTGCGATGACGTCATCAACATTTTTGCAAGGACACGTATATCAGTTGGGATAGATGTAGTGTAATACTAAGAATAAAATTATTATATTCTCAAATTTTTGGGAAAATGAATTGGGTCGTTTTGAATATTGATTTGTAATAATCAATAAAATAACGAAACAATTTACTCACGTATACGTATCAGAGGCAACTGAAAATCGTGTATGTATAAACATTCTTAATTTATGATGACAGGCGTAACAGCATACGTGAGAGTCAAACAGAGAAACTGTAAACAAATCGACCATCGGTTTTATTGCTTCGACTTCCGCTTATTATATAAAACATTGGGTTTTATTTTAATTCTTGACGGTGAAATTCACAATTGGTTGATTATAAACATGTCTATTTCACATTCGCGGAACCAAGTGAACGCATAAAACAAATGCAGGTCTGTAATGTTAAAGTCGATGTAAATAAGCGTGCTACCCTTATGTTTCACCCGAGTTTTTCCTTTAACAAATTTTGTGTCTACCAAATTGGGTTGGTTGGGGTGTAATACTAATAATAAGTGTTGCCTTTAATTTAATCAATAAAATGAATTGACTTCATTAATTTTTTTGAACCACCTCTTAAGAAAATCTAAAAAATATGAATGGAATGATAAATCACAAGTACAAACTCATCATATTTTTTGCATTTTAGATAGGATTTATTCAGCTAAATCACAAGTACAGACTCATCATATTTTGTACATTTTAGATACGATTTATTCGGCAAACTTTTGAGCTGACGTCATCAGTTTTTTGTAGAAGATAACCAAATATATTTTGACTAAAAATTTATTATGCCCTTTATAACCTTAAAACATCTGCAAGATTTCGAAGCATTCGGTTTTGTAGTTCCTGAGTAAATCAGTAAAATAAATTTACGCTTTCATTTATTTTCTTGAATCACCATGTATATGCAAATCCAAAAAATATGAATGGAGTGATAGATCACAAGTACAGACTGATCATATTTTGTACATTTTAGATATGATTTATTCGGCAAATTTTCGAGCTGACGTCATCAAGTTTTTGGAGGGGATAAGCAAATATATTTTGACTAAACATTTATTATGCTCTTTATAACCTTAAAACATCTGCAAGATGTCAGAGCATTCCGTTTTGTAGTTCCTGATTAAATCAATAAAATATATTTACGCATTCATTAATTTTTTTGAGTCACCCTGTATATGCAAATCCAAAAAATATGAATGGAGTGATAGATCCCAAGTACAGGCTCATCATATTTTGTACATTTTAGATATGATTTATTCCACAAACTTTTGAGCTGACTTCATCAAGTTTTTGGAGGGGATAAGCAAATATATTTTGACTAAACATTTATTATGCTCTTTATGACCTTAAAACATCTGCAAGATTTCAGAGCATTCGGTTTTGTAGTTCCTGATTAAATCAATAAAATATATTTACGCATTCATTAATTTTTTTGAGTCACCCTGTATATGCAAATCCAAAAAATATGAATGGAGTGATAGATTACAAGTACAGACTCATCATATTTTCTACATTTTAGATATGATTTATTCCACAAACTTTTGAGCTGACGTCATCAAGTTTTTGGAGGGGATAAGCAAATATTTTTTGACTAAAGATTTATGATGCTCTTTATAGCCTTAAAACATCTGCAACATTTCAAAGCATTCTGGTTAGCAGATTAAAAATTAAATTTCAAAATGTTGTTTTATAATTCTGATTTTTTTTCCAAAAATCTGGACGTTTCGGGTGAAAAGTCGATTCAGAGTTGTAAACTACATGTGTAGGACTATGTTATTTTATACAATTGAAAACCCATTTACTATGTACAATTTTGAAGTGACGTCATCGCATTAGTGGTGGGGATGATTAGACAAATTTTGGTTAGCGTTTTACCATCTACATGATATTCTTAATATAAGTACAAAATTTCACAACAATCGGTCGAGTACTTTCGGAGATTATCTGTCTAATAAAAATCCGGGACGGCAGACGGACAGACGGGCAGACGGACGGATAGACGGACGGACAGACGGACAGACGGACAGACAGACGGAGATGGGAGACCTATTTCTTCGTCTTCTAGGGGTCATGAAAGATCGAGAAAACGTAAAAGTAGAGAGTCGGCCGACGGACTCGATTACAATACTTCCTTTGCTTACGCTCGGGAAGTAAAAAAGCGTTAAAAGTAGGCAATAATAACAAATTAAAAATCATAAATGGGATGTTTAGGCTACGAGTGGACCATGTTACTGTTCCTTCCTAATGTGTGCTTATTACTGACAAGCTGTTATTAAAAAATTTTTATAGAATTTAATTTAGCAAGCGACAGAGCGTTCGCCATTTACCCCTCGGCGATAGTAAAAGCAGTTTTTAAATTCAGGCCTAACATTACGCAGCATTTTGAGGGTCATCTGAATGCACGCTTGCTCTACTCACTGGTGTAGAGCTTGTAAATTCCGTGAAGGTGCGTGATTTCACATATATCCATTAAAAAATCCAATGGAGTGACATTCAGACGGGGTCACTGTATGGACCCGCGCTTACCAATACACCAATTTTGCATATATTTCGTTAGAAAAGGTATGGCATTCTGAAAATAATACGGTGGTGCCCGTCCAATTGAAAAAACGCTTCTGTGCACGATAGCAATATAATGTGTGTTACTTCACAACACCAAAACAACACGCGTTTCCCCATAACCAGTATAGTTTTGTCTAGATAATGCCAAATAGTTGACGAAACGCGTCAACAATTTTTATGTTTTCGGTGGTGTGGGGTTATAGACTTATATTAAATAATTGCCTAATGCCTTCTCTAAAATGTTCTCACGATGGACTTTTCTGTTAAATTGACTCTATTTTAGTTGGTGAAGGAAAGGTGATAAAGTACAGTGTGAATCACCGATATTCGTTTCGTCATCAATTCACAGAACACTAAATAATGTGTGATTACAAACAATTTACTTAGTTAGATTTAACTGAATCATACACATATTGACATATACCTACGATTTGCGTTTTTTTAACGTCTCCAATTTAGTGAATACCTACAAATCACCGGGTGCGTTCCTATAATCCTAGAAAAATCGTTAATTGTATACGCCGGAGGGTCGTAATGATACATATTTTCTGATGAAATCACAACCTTTAAAGTAAAATCACTAATTTTCTCTGAATGATTTATTTTTTGTATTTTTTACTTCCCGACCGTAAACGAAGGAAGTATTGTAATAGGTGTTTGGATCTTTCATGTTTTTCGAAGTTTGATGACCCCTAATCTCCCCAGAGTACAAAAAAGTGGTCTCCCGTTTCCGGCTGTCTGTCGTCTGTGTCGATTTTTAATCTCGAAATTACTGTCGTCAAATTTTACATGTATCTTAGGAATATCGTGCAGATAACTAGAATTTGTCCATTGACCCCCAACAACAAT